TTATTTCCACAAACTTTCTAATTCTTAAGAACATTATTTACACAACATATTTACACAATTTTGTTTTAGATATTTGTATGTCGTTATATCGCTCCACTTCTTTCCACAAACTTTCAAATTTATAAGAATATTATTTGTACAACACATTTGCACAATTTTATTTTATATATTTATACAATTATATCATTTCACTTTTTGTACGTAGAATTCTTAATTATTCATGATTAAAAAATAGTATCTTCATTCTGTGATAGTTATAAATTCAATAAGTATTGTTTAATGACATTGTTAGACTGCCTTGAAAATAATTGAGGCGTCCAGGATATCGAACATTGCCAACCACGCGATTGGTATTATATAATATTTTAATCTAGACGACATATGTGGTTATTATCTTATAATTCGTATGCCTCTGTTTTTCAGTATTATCGTATTATCATTTGTATCCATCGAACGCTCATTGGTTGGCTGTAACCGCTGACTAATTGTAACGTTTCTGTGGACAGGTAAAAAACTTTACGAGAGCAACACTTATTCAGGACCGAAGCTCGGCAGTGTTTGCACCCTGGCGAACTATAACACGGCACCCCGCGGATGGGATCAGTCGTTGACCTACTACCGGCCGATAAAATTCGAGAAACCGCAGGAAGTTGTATATTCTGACTTTTAGGTGTAGCGTACTTAATTAAATCAAAGCGCTTGGTATGTTTCTGACAGTGTAAATAATTTGTTTCTCTTTCAATAATCGTGTAATTTAAATGTACGTTGTTGGCTCATGCGTTCGCACGTATCTTCTGAATTACGTTCTTACATTGTTCATCGAATTGTCGTTCTCCTATTTCTTGCGAAACTATGGGAGACGTTTCCTGTACTAATTAAAAGGTGCATCGTAATAAAAAGCAAATAACAACGTCGTTGATTTTTGCTCGTAAACGCGTTCACATCGCGAAATCGTTAACCATAATATTTGTCATCATTTCAAGAAGTACATTTAATATTATCCGATCAATCATGCCTTCAGTTTACACGCACGAATACATTATTAATAATTCATTAAATACCCGCACGTTATTTATCATATAATATTAAATATATCCGATAAAATGCTGTAATATTGCGAGTACATGGATTACACGTGTAATGACGGTAACGCAGAAGATACATGTAGCAGGGTAAAAAAAAAAAAGGAAGAGTTTCTTCAAACGATCGGCGATCAGCAATTTCGGATTCGCGTTTTCAATCGTGTCGCAGATTGTTTTGGTTTCTCCCCTATCTTTTGTTAATTCGTTTTCGCGGTGGTTTAATCCAGAGACTGGTTACCGGTATTTCTCGGTCGCGTCATCTCATAACTTTTGTAGAGACCGAAATACCGGTACGACGTCTAAATATCGGCGTATGAAAATACCGGTGAAATAGCTAAAATCTCGAAATATTTCGGTTCTCAGTCACCGATTTAATCGTCGAACGACCATAAGGGGGATCACGCGCGCACAAATATTATCCGCATACGTTGAGGCTTCGTTTTGTTTGATGTACCTACCTCTCTCATTATGGAAATGTTGATTTTTATTTATGCCGCTGACAGTGTTACTGCATTTTACATTATAAAGTATTAATACTATATTATTCGATGAATAAATGTTGTTTTCATAATTCCCGTCGCAATTTTTCATTCGCTAAACTCGACGCCACCACGCTCTCCGATCCGTTTCGATTCCACGCCTCGTTTCATCCCGTCCTTTAACACTAGATTTACGAAATCCGTCAAAATGACGAGTCACGAATTTTTTTAATTTACGATTATTCATATCGCAAAGACACATTTATGAGTTATTTATTCAATTTATACGTTACTTACGGCAAATTACGATATTTGCAACATATACAATAACACTTGTTCAAGATCAGTATAAATGTCTTATTGTTACTTTTATAAATATAAAACAGCTGTTTTTTGTGCTCCGTAAATCTAGTGTTAATATTTCGCTAATTCTCGATATTACAAACAAATATCCAAGGGGTAACGTTGGATTTCAAGGGGAAAATATTACGACGCTCGACGACAGTTTCTCGAGATCTAATTTCTCGAACATTTCAATTCGCGTCGGTGAAATAATCGGCAAATAAATCGTAGAAATGTGTTAAATTATTCTCTCGTGTCCGAAGCATTCGGTTGCGTCGTAGAATTCTTTCGCCGCGCGAGATCATGTTAAATAATGCTAATTGCACATATTTCTCTAAGATGAACATGATCGGCATTGTTTCGTCGGGAATTTTTCAGTGAAATGTAAAACAGAAAATAAATAATGTTCCTATGAAATACTTTTGGATGGCAATGTACTTCCGTATCTCGTCTTTTCGACGCAGTCGCGGCAATGGCGGTGCATCGAAGTTAATATAAGTAGAGGCAGGAGAGTAATTCTGTCATTAGTCAGTGGCCGGCCGTAACCGACAGCGATCGGCAATGTTGTGGTGCGAATTTTTCCTGCCGTTCCTGTTTCTCTTCTCGTATGGAGGAGCATTCAGAATACTGCCAGCGCCGAGCAGCCCCAAATGCGGCTACAGCGTAAGCGAAATAATTCATTCACATTCAGAATTGTTCTAAGCACGGTAATTCGGTAATATCGGTTGGCTATGACAGAACGGTGCCGGGAAGCACGGTACAATTTGAAAAAATGTACAAACACGTGTATTTTCAGGTGTCGCAAATTAAACCGTGTTAGCCTCGGCTCGATAAAATACTATTCGGAATATTTATTTTGCTATGCGATACGGATATGTATATGATACGTATATGTGTAGATTGTGTATTTTATGATAGAAATAAGTAAATAAAATATGAGAAAGCAAACACGTTTACAGAATTTAGATGTCCGAAGAACTTACAACTCGTTTGGAACGATTCACTTGAATTGTACATTTGTAGAGTTAATAAAGAGTTGTTATTTTAGCTATTATTATTAATAAGTTAATAAGAGTTATAAGTCCCGAATATATTGGAAATATTGCAAGGAATTTTCCGAATATTAGAAACATTTTTAACGAATTCCAACCATATATAAGAAATATGTTAAATGAATTACAGTAATACGATGTGCAGTTCTCCCTAATTTTCCTTCAGCTTGTAAACAAAAATGGACAATTTGGGAAGAGGAGGTACGATTATTCGAGCCTTGCACCTCGCTTTTATAATTATTGACAATCGGCAACTATAAAAATAAGCCGCGAGACTCGAATAATCGTATCTGCTCTTCCTTAAGTGTCCATTTTTGTTTACAAGCTGATGGAAAATTGGGGAGAAAATGTACTCTATTTTAAACGAATTTCGCGAATATTTTAAACGAATCTCAAATATCTAAAAATGAACTTAGTCCGATTTGAACGAATTTCAAGCGCTTAGATATCGCGCGAGAAACGCGTGTGAAATAATAATATTGTTACAGTCATGTGCCGCAGTCGATCCGAGCAAATTGAACATTCATCTGGTGGCTCACACGCACGACGATGTCGGCTGGTTGAAGACGGTAGATCAGTATTTCTTCGGAAGTATGTTCGTCGGCATTGTCGTACACACGCTTCGACAATGGTTCGAGAATTGTTTTAATTGATCGTTACCTTCTCTTCAAGGTCGGTCTAAGACGCAAGTGGCTGGCGTGCAATATATTCTGGACAGCGTCGTGCAAGCACTGGTGGCAAATCCTGAGAGAAAGTAATTAAAAAGAAATCATTAAACGTTTTATTAGACCGACGATTAGATTTGATATTTGTGAAGAATGTTCTACGGTAATGTTCGATATTAATTTAGGTTTATGTACGTGGAGACTGCTTTCTTGTGGAAATGGTGGGTCCGACAGGACAAGAAGACCCAACAAATTGTGAAGAATTTGATAAACGAAGGCCGGCTGGAAATTATCGGCGGTGGATGGAGCATGAACGATGAGGCGGTCACGCACTATCATTCTCTGGTCGATCAGTACACCTGGGGATTCAGGTGAGCAAGGGAACTGTTTAAGCATCAAACTGGATTCGCTGAAACTTCGAACTTTTTCTCTTGCAATAACAAGAAATAACTATTAGAAATTAAATTTAACTCTCGCAATTCCAAAAGATAGCGAAAGCAACAGATTTTTCTAGAAATACAATAATTTCTCTCTAATTCGCGCTCAGATTGCCCACAAAAATGGACAATTTGTGAAGAGAAGATACGATCATTCGAGTCTCGCGTCTCGATTCTATTAATTCTTATTTATTTATTTAACTAATCTTATTAATTATTTCTGTACGAGCCGCAAGGCTCGAATAATCGTATCTCCTCTTCCCTGATTGTCCATTTTTGTGCGCAATCCAAGCGCAAATTTGGGAGAAATTACTGTATTAACACCTCGACTGCCGCGCCAAAACTCGCAGAAGCCTTTCTCCAATTGAAATTAATAATTATCATTAGCTCTAAGAACGTGCGCAGCATTATCAAAAGCGTACTCGTTGTTTGTAGACGACTTTACGACACTTTCGGAACTTGCGCGAAACCGCACATAGGCTGGCAAATAGATCCTTTCGGTCACTCCAGAGAACAAGCGTCGCTTTTCACGCAACTAGGATTCGATGGTCTGTTCCTGGGACGCATTGACTACCAAGACAAACGACAGAGGATCGAAGACAAATCGATGGAGTTCATCTGGAAAGGCAGTCCGAATTTAGGTAATTGTTGAACATAGACATCTGAATGTTAAACGTTCAACAGTTTGTACAACTTTGTTTCGGACTTGAAATTGTACAACTTTCCTGAACCTTGTTACAGGATCTAATGCGGACTTGTTCACGGTTGTGTTGTACAACACTTATTCCCCGCCACCTGGATTCTGTTTCGATGTTTTATGCAGGGATGATCCCATCAATGACGATGTTGAAAGCGCAGACTACAATGTTCCCGAAAAGGTAAGCTTCGGATACTGTATATTAGTGCATGTATTCGGCAATGAGAATAGTTCCATCATTTTCATCACTTTCACGTATTTCTGAGACCGTTATTAATTCTTTAGAACGATCGATACTCATTTCATGTAACACGTTCGAAATTGGTGCATCAATTAAAATAGTATTCAGTTTTATTCGAACGCATTCGAAATTTTCTTATCGAAAACAAGTTGAATAGAGTTTGATCTGTAATCGAATGACTAAAACTAAATTTACTTCGATTTATCGCCATAATCGTAACTGATTTGTAGGACAAATAGAAAGTGCTTGACACGATATTGTCCAATCTCTCGATAAGTATCTTTATCGCATCACGAGTTCACTATTGTTATTGCCAAAGTCCAAAAAATCCTTGAGTCATGACATATTCGATACGATCGCGTTCCACCAAATTTATCGAAGAACATGACTTTCGCGTATACATCTTGCACAAGTTAAGACAAGGCTCGGAATTAACCAGCAAGCAACACGGGGATCGCGAGGGTTACGCCTCCTGACTCCCGTCATGAGTCTCGCTTCTCGTGGTCGCCTCTTTAGGCTCGGAGCATCTCAGACGTGTGTGCTTGCTGTTTTATGCGCGTGTCTGTAGGTGAGTTATGTGTGTGTGTTAGGCGATGATGGGGGAGCGAGTCGCGCGACAGGAGTCAGGAGGCGTGGCCCTTGCGATCCCCATGTTGCGTGCGGTTAATTCCGAGTCCTGATTTAAGACACGTTTGAATCACATTTTAAGCAGCTGGACAAAATCAATGCTGATGATGCTACCGTATTTCTCTGTTCAAAACTACACATTTTGTACTCAAGACAGAGAAACAATGACAATAAAAGCGACAGCAACAAAACCGATGGGAAACACCCATAAATTATGAACTGGTTAACTGTGGCTCGCTTAATTGAAATCGCCTTTGTATTTTATTAAATCTAAATTGGCTTTGTATTATTTTGCTGAATTTAATTGCATTGTGCTAAATCGAAATTGTCTTTGTACTTCACTAAATTCAAATTGTCCTTGTATTTTGCCGAATTTAAAGCGTCCCTACATTTTATTAAATGCAAGGTTACAAATTTGTAATTGATGCGAATGATGATTTACTGCGCTGTTACATGCTGTATACCATACGTTGTACGTTACATTATCAATCGGAAGAAACCGCATGCTCGAAAAATGATTCAAACGTAGCAAAAACGTTCGTTGATCACGCGTTTCCTTCCTTTAAATCGGTCATTCTGGTGCAGAATTATTAAAAGGCGTAATCTATGCTAACGAATAGCCTTCTGTAAATTGCAATTCTCCGATGCTTTGATTACAAACAGTAATTAATCCTGTTGTGGAACAGGTGAATCAGTTAATGCAGTACGTGGGTAAACAAGCAGACATATACCGCACGAATAACGTCATATTAACAATGGGCGGAGATTTCACGTATCAGCAAGCGGAAATGTACTTCATTAATCTGGACAGATTAATAAGGTAGTAAATACATAGCAGCTCAATTTCATTGTAAAATCGATTCGATGCTACGCGTATCTGCTCCGAAATATCGCCAAAGGAAGGAAAACGTCGTGACACTCTAATAAATCGCATGAATCCTTCGGTAAGTATAGCGTTGCTTGATGTGTTATCCGACAGGTCGAAAAATTCTTGGCGTATGCTCGAACACAGGCGTCGCACTACAAAACTAATAACATTATACTCACAATGGGCGAAGATTTTAATTACCAGCAGGCTGAGATGTGGTATACTAACATGGACAGGCTGATCAGGTAACGCGTAATTGTTTAAACGTTCTGCGGACGTGCACGAGCCTAATCTGCACATTGTGCCTCAGCTGCCAAAGCTTCGGTCGCTTATTGCTTCGCGAGAGAAATTACAATGGCTTTCTCGCGCGAAATGGTGAACAGGATATTTTTATAAATATTCGTCTGAGAGATTTAATGCAAGAAATATTTTCAAATACCGTGTGCTTTAGCTATTCGATTTTGAATTTATCGTGCATCATCGGTATACTTTAATAACAAGTGCTTCTTGTTTACCAAAAACATTTTATCAAAAGTTTCTATTGAGAAAGAAAGAAAATCTAAATTCAGTTTCTCGTGTGGGAGAAATTCCGTTACAATAATACTTTGTGGGCAAAGTAAGAGTATAAATTTCTGAAAATTATGATACTGACGCACCGTCTGTTTTCTATTCGATAGATACGTGAGGGAACTGAACAGTACCGAGGTGAACATATTCTACTCGACGCCGTCGTGCTATCTGAAAGCAGTGAATGACGCTAATCTGCAATGGCCAACAAAGGAGGATGACTTCTTCCCGTATGCCAGCGATCCTCATTCTTATTGGACCGGATATTTCTCGTCGAGGCCTACTATCAAATACTTCGAACGAATGGGAAACAATCTTCTGCAGGTAACATTGCTCAATTGGGAATCAAATTCGAGATTCCTTTTGCTATTCTTCATTCTACATCGTTCGTAATCCAGTGAAGTAGAGCTGAGATTTGTATTTGCAGTGGTGTGTAGAGCTGAAATTCTGTAAATTAAAAATTAAAAGGCATTGAGATTTTAAAATTGCCAGAGAGGCGTTTATGATAAGTAGAAAAGGTGATTGATGAACAGACAAGCTGACCAGACGAGTTCGATATCTAATTGGCACAAGATTTTGATAACATTCAAATAGAAAGCAGTTCACAGAAAATAGCTTTAAACAGTTCTTAAATAAAAGTTATAGTTCTTTAAATATCTTCGAAACTATTTGCTTTCCCACAGCTTGAAATCGGGAATCTAATTGGACTATGGTAACGAAGAATACCGATGAAATAATGGGATTATCATTTTATTTTTAGATTAATAAACAGCTGGTCGTGTTGGCTAATTTCACGGAACACAATGCTCATTTGGAGCATTTCCGAGAAGCGATGGGTATAATGCAGCACCATGATGCAGTCACTGGAACCGAAAAGCAATTGGTTGCCGATGATTATGCTCGCATATTGTACAAGAATATGGAGCAAGGCACGGAGACAGTGGCCGCAGCGTTAAAGTAAGAATTCATTAGAAAAGCAACCCCTAACGAAGCAAGCCGAGTTTCAGATTTGAGAAAATAACTTATTTCATTTCGACATTTTTCTACGATTAATTTTACTTATTACTTCTTCTCTACACCTAACTATAATTCAATTCTCTGAAGAATTAGTTACATTCAATAAATGTCCCGAGAATTTTGTTAATAATTGTTTCCTTAAATGTAACTTCTGCATAAAAATGGTGCAGTGAAGAGGCTGCTCTATCGAGCTGTTAACGTTATTGTTATTGTTACACAGAAAATGGACGTTTGGAAATTCAAATGTTACGACTACAAAAATGTTCTCTTGCATGGAGTTAAACATCAGCTCCTGTCCGTACACCGAGGAACAAAATTCGATACTCACAATTTATAATCCTTTATCGTTCCAAATTGACACGCCAATTCGCGTCCCTGTCCAACAAGGCACCTACAAAGTTGAAGATCTATCAGGTACACACAGCATAGAAAGTCAGTTGCATTTTTGAGAAAATTCTTCTCTCGAAAATGATTTTCGTTTTAATACGTTGAATTATTGTTATTTCAAGACTCGGCCAAAAAAGTTGTCTCGCAATTGGTCCCCATTCCAAATTCTGTACAACAAATCCCTGGACGAGTGAGCAAAGCAACGCACGAGCTTGTATTTATGGCAAAGGTGCCAGCATTGGGATATCAGTCTTACAAAGTGATAAAAACAAGTGATACATATGAAAATATAGTAACTTCGACGGATTCCATCCAGAACGAGGTATTAACATAATCAGTCACTCAGTAAGCTTATGGTTACACAACTCCTTGTTATTTCGACACCAAAGGGAATGATTTTCAAGCCTGTTCTTTTCAAAAAAAGCAAAAACCTGGTGGCTAGCTGATCTTGGGTGTCTTCAACGAATTATTCAGTGTCTTCCTTTCCTTCAAGATTAATATAAGAAGAAATCTAAATGCTTTTATTTGTTTAATCAGGAGTCTTTCAGAAAACATGTTTCCCCATTAGTCAACATTTTCAGTATGACTACACTAAAATCTTTATGAGTTTGTTTCTTCAGTTTGCTTTAATCTACGAAAGAAAACAATTGTTTACACAACTGTATTATATTTACAGCTTTACGAGATATACGTGAACAACGACGGAAAAGTTGTTGTAAATTATAAACAGGAGAAGGACATGAGTGTTGTCCAGTCGTTTCACTATTACGAAGGACAGGTAGGAAACAACGAAATACCTAAGAATAGGTCGTCAGGTGCATACATATTTAGACCAATCGGAATGTTTGCCAGGGGCTTCATGAACCCTACGGATTACAAAGTATACAAAGGTAACGTTTCATAAACGCCAAATTAAATAAAAAGAATGATAGTGGATTCTAATTGCATTTACTTCGATTTTAGGCGACGTGGTGCAAGAGATCCATCAAACGGTTAACAGTTGGATCAGTCAAGTGGTCAGAATTTACAATCAAAAAGGAAATGAAGAAAATGTCGAATTCGATTGGCTTGTGGGCCCGATACCTGTTGAGTGAGTTTCGATTAATTACACCCAAATTCGCGTAATTCTAATTGAACACACAAAATATTACTTGAACCAGGCACAGGACCCTTTCCAAATTTTTTTGTTTGCAATGTAATATTGCCTACATTAACACTAGACTTACAAAACACCAAGATCAGCTATTTTATAATGTATATTGCATCACGAAGAAAACAATAATGCAGTAATGCAAATTTTTATTGCAATACGTACCCGAAACAAAATTGAGCAATCCCGCATAAATGCATCTTTAGTGAACTCAAAGAGAACGATTATACTCGCTCCGAATACTAGGACAGCTTTATAATAATTGTTTTGTTCATTTCAGGGACAAAGTTGGTAAAGAGATCGTCACCAAGTACAGCAGCAACTTGAGCTCGAAGGGAGAATTTTTCACCGACAGCAACGGGCGTGAAATGTTGAAACGACAGAGGAACATTCGTCCAACGTGGAACCTGATGTTGGAGGAGCCAGTGTCTGGCAATTATTATCCGGTCACTACTAAGATAGCTCTGGAAGATGAGGACAGGTACCAAAGGCTCAGCGTGATCACTGACAGAGCCCAAGGTGGAACCAGCATGAAAGATGGGGAGATTGAGCTGATGGTAAAATCCCACACCTGTTCCTACAAAAAGAGAAAAACTTATTTGGCAACTAGACAACTTAGATTCGTCAAACTTTTTTGAGGATACTGAATACAAAAAATGTTCCGCTTTGACATCTGGACCTAAGTAGACTGTTCATTTCTGTCTCAAAGTCTGTAATCTAGTACAGCTGATGTAGTATAGGGAAACCTTGAAAACGTGTTAGCTAACGCTATAAATTGGAAATCGTTGACTTCCTGTCACAGGTTCATAGGAGATTGCTGCATGACGACGCATTCGGTGTGGGCGAAGCTTTGGACGAGACTGCATTCGGTCATGGTTTGGTAGCTAGAGGATCTCACTATCTTCTCGGAGGCAGCACAAAAGATTTGGACAAGTTGATATTGAACGAGAAGATTTCGACGCTTAAGTCAGTGCTGCGACCATGGACCCTTGTGACACCGTTCAAAGACGACTCTGAGATCACTCAGTTCCCTTATCAAACACCGGTAACACTCTGTTTTTACTTATCGCAGACATTGCTAACTTGCTCATTGAGTAGCTTAAATATTTATCATTTGAAAGTGATTTGGAGAAAAGTATTCTAGCATTAATGATCGTTAATTTTGTGCTCTTAGGTATCCGGTCTGAACAATTCCCTACCAGTGAACGTTCATTTGTTGACCTTGGAGCCTTGGATATACGATACCGTTATATTGAGATTAGAACACATTTTCGAGAAGGACGAAGCTAAGACTTTGTCGAAATCTGTCAACGTCAATCTTCAGGTACGTTCCCAATTTTTATGGACCTTAATTTTTGCCATCTTTGAATAGTGTTATATTAAAGATAATATTGATACAATTATGTAGATAATTGTCAGTAGAAAGGTAGTCGCAACGGAAACCAATTAAAATATTTTATCGTCTATTTGAAGCAACTGTTATCGTTATCTTTTCTGTCACCAGGGCCTGCTCGCAAATCGCAGAATTTTAACAGTTAGGGAAACGACACTGGGAGCCAATAAATGGTTGCAGGAGGTGAACCGTATGCAATGGAAAGCTGACTCGAACGAAATTGTTGAGCAGTTCGAAGAATTACCATATAACATTACCCAATATAATGTTACTCTCAATCCGATGGAAATACGAACATACATTATATCATTCATGCCTCAGGAGTAGTTATATGTACATACGTTATTCAGTCATATCATTTTATCGCAGAAGTACATCGAATTATTCTCAATTTCTGCAACATGAAGCTCGGTTAAAATAGCGAAAAGTCTCGAGAGGAGCTAATTTAGATAAACAACGAAACAATTAGCGAATTTATCGTAACACAGTTTATAAGTGTTAAAAATAATCTATCCTGTTCTGTTTGTTAAGAAAATTTAGTTTTATACTGAAATTGTGAACACTACGTTGTAAATACTCGACAAATTTAAATACAGCAAGAACGGACAAGTCTGTTACTGACAATTTTATTCAGTGCCATTTAAAAATAGTTAAAACTATAGAACAAAATAAATAAATAAAGCAACTACTAATTATAAGTACTGCATTTAATTTCTTCCCACTTTGTTTAAAAATTTTAAATAAACGTACGCATTTGCTTGCAGTAATTCACTACTTAAAACAAATGTTTATCGGTCATATGCGAGAACTGTCAATCTAATTGACAATACAGCAAATCAATAACCTTTCAAAATGTAAAATTTCCTTCCCAAAATTCCCGAACACCTTCTCATTTGATCGTCACAGTATTACAGAAATTTTGAGATGACATCTCGGGATAGTGAGTGTGTTATCTCATCGACACGAAAACGTACCGAAGAATCTACACGCAACAGTGTACAATTAATCCCTTACCAAAGTAAGTAACTTCTTTTTTACTGTAACCATACAAATAGAAAAATTCATAGATTATTACAGAAAAATTAGGGGAGACTAGCGATGCCTTGTTCGCTTGAAACATTACTTAAACATGTTTAAATATTCATAATGTTACATACAAAAAAATATATCATTATGTTCAGCAGAGTTTGCAAAATCATTTAATGCGAGAAAAGTTTGAAGCACAACAACAACAAAATTCTCAAAGTTCAAAATTTATGCTTAAAAATTGCCTATTACTTATTACAACACGCTATACGAAATATTAAAATTTATTGAACAATGTTATCAGCTGAATAACTTGATTGCTATAAGTATTGTACATGATGTTTGCAAAGCAATTTACACAAATCATCAGACTTTTTATTAAGTATGATTTAACAAATATCGACGCGCTCTGCATTGAAGATGACATCAGAGGACGAAGTTTGGGTGCAAACCCAAATCACCGTGACTCCGGAGGAGGATGCAATGATCCGGGAGATCTCTCACTCGGCGATCTTGTCGTCGTCACCGGACGTGCCATTAGACGTCGAAGATAAGATTGTATACAGAAGAGAGTTCAGTCAAATCCCCTTTCTGGATACAGACTCGGAATATAAGATCATAGACATAAAGCCACCTGTGAGTATTGACTTGTTCGTGCCTAGACAGGATGAAGGAATTCAAACATACTTGCAAGGGATTACGGATGTCCGCATTTCCCAAGAATACAAGGACGAAGCGACTCAAACCTTGTACATGGCCTCGCCCTGTCCACCATTAGAATATTACAGGGACATTATGAGTATGCTCTTTACAACCATAGCATTAACTTGAAGGGATGTGGAATCTTTCTGAGGAAGTCTTTTCAGAGACTCATTGGGTGTTTATTTTGGCCTTAGACATTACGATAATACTTTCTTGTTCATAAAATGGCGACGTTGCATCTGCTTCATTATGATCTTGGAATTGATATCACGTTGTTTGTAGTATGAAGAGGTATACAGAATTTTTTGGATAAACTAACCGCGCCGATTATAGTTAATGTTTTCGTATTAAAGTTTCAAGTGGGAAGAATAACAATTTTCCAGAAATTAGTACTGTTTTTTTTTTAAATTCTACGTACTTTTTACCAATTAAACAATTTTTTACAATATTTGCATCCTAAAATTATGTGTAAAATAATCTCTTCCGGAAGAAATGGAGTTCGCAAATTGTCAAGCATCTCGTTAACAAAAAAAAATATTAAATCACTGCCAGTTGTGAATATGTTAACACATGATCGTCGCCCATTGTATGAGCAAATGAAATTGACAAATTTATTAAATTATTAACAAATAAGTACAGTAAAATAAATTTCCCAAGAATATGGACAATTTCAAATAATCGTATTTCTTCTTTCCAAATTGTCCATTTTTGTTTGCAAGTTGAGCGTTTACAGAATTTACTGTATGTGCGCTTCAAAAATTAATATCTTCAGTGTCGATGCAAGAAGTGCCGATGCCGACGATGAAGACAACTATGGCAGCGGAAACTATAATTAGCTTCCCTCCGGACGCACTATTGAACGATGTAGCAGAAGAGCTATCTGCGAAGAAGATAAAAGAAGAGGAGCTCGAAGAATTCACGTCCGAGTTCTCCGACAACGAAATAGCGAACATGATGGTCCCCGACATTTTGCAATTTGCTTTAGCACGAGCACTTTGGATCCTTGATCCGAGGCTCCACGAAGTGGAAACTTCCGACAAAGAAGTACAAACTATGATTAAATACAACAATCACACGGACATTATGATCGTCGACTCTGAAACGCAAACAGATTTGACTTGCGAGCCAAAAGACTCGAATAGTAAGCTCTTGTCGAACTATTTCGAGACGAAGAACATGATCTTCGATTATTTGGAGGATTGGCTGTCCAAAGGAATCGACGCCATAGCGGTCGTCGATGGAATAATGAATGAAATCATCGATAAATGTACGGAAATGATCAGATTTCCTATGAAAGATGAGACTATGCAAACTATAGTGACGTACAAATTAAGCGGAGAAAAAGAGCAGGATATTTTGCGAAGATTGAGACACGGCATTGTTGTCGATCCTATGGAGGCGACGATGGTTGTACCGCCATTGATAGACGATTTATTAGAATCGGTTTGTCAAATTGTTTCCGCGAACGCGCCGAAGGCAGTTAAATGCATTATGCCCACTGTGCTGCGGAGAACAATGAATATAATTGACAAGCTCGAGGAACTTCACACTGAATTGCAACGTTAGTACTTATTTCTGTAGAAGATCTCGTTTTTGATCTTATGTTAGCTTCTGCATTAGGTTCTTATATTTTTTTACACGTGTAGCACAGTTTACGAGCTTTATTCACTGAAAAAATTCTTTGAACATGTTTCCATACCCATATTGCGATATTAAATTATTGAACATTATAATAAAGTATAAAACGTGTTCGAAATGTGACTAACTTTTGAAAATTGTTGAAACAATTTTTATCAGCGAAACCTTTGGACGACGTGCTGGCAGCAAGAAGAAAGAAGATCCTCGATTCGATGTCGAAAGCGGAAACGGAAACCATTTCCACTCAGACAACCATAGGCGGAGTCTCCGAGGTCCAGAAGATCAAGGACAAAGAGGTCGTGTGCTCCATTTGCAGACGACCGTCTGTCTGCCAATACTGTGCAATAGAAGAAGACGTTCCCCAGGATCAGCCGAAAATGCTTCGCACGCAGGATATACTACTTGCTTATAAACCCTGCTACATTGTTACTACTCTTTCAGAGAAAGAGAAGAGTCAGACACCTCCTCCTCCTCGTCCACCGTTGAAGAAGATCTTCCCACCAGTGAGGTCTATTTTAAGCACTTCAATGCAGTCTTCTAGAGACTCTGGAGAAACTATGAACGTATTTCCAGAACCTGACATGATGCCACGAGGTAGACATTTAATGGTAGAATGATTTGAAAATAATGAGTATACAATTTGTTTCAGAATCTGTTAACGAGTGGTCCTACGTTATCGATGCAACCTTGATGAAGCCGGTGTCAATTGGAGGTAAGAATTCAATTCTTCATATTTATTTTATACTTGCAAGATAGGGATGATGTTCATAAGTATAAGAGTATTTACTTAGTTAAGTCTTCTTTGCTCGTGGTTTACATTAAATTTTAATGCAAAGGCCGAATTTAGAAACTTTCCTGAAATTTGGAAAAATCGTTATTAAGATGGTGTAGTTTTGAATGGAGCACAATAATTATAAATGTATTTCTCTTTGTACTAATAATTGCATTCTATTATATATTCTAGGCAGCCACAGCAGTGCAGGTCGAACAACAAGTTCATTGAACAATGCAAATTCTGCACGTTATTACCAATACCCTTGTGCCCGTCCAAAATTTGTACCTTCGGAAACAGTGAACGCTTTGGAAATACTGAAGAACACATTTTGCAGTCAAGAGAACTGCATAACTTCCTCCCTAGAGGATATCAGTAGCTGTAATCTGTTTAAAAGGAAGAAAGTCGCGTGCGTGGCGTCTTCGTGCAAAATGTGCATTAACAGAAGTAGCAGCAGCACAGACACCTGCTGCCTAGAGCAGACCTGCAAGCCTCTTTCGAGACTGCACTTACCTACAACGAATACCTGCAATCAAAATATGAAATCGAACGACAACTTCAAAATCATTCCCATATGTCTCTCGCACACCTCAAGCAGTCAGAGATGATTCAAATAAATTATTTGCTTTCTCTTAAACGTTGAACACGTCGATTGATTAACTAGAATTCTAAGAGTCGCAGGAAATCAAAGGTATTTAGTTGGTGAGACTGCCTAATCTATGGATCTTTATGCGGTGTACAAAAATTTAATTAAGTTATTCGTCAAGAACCACGGTTAAATGAAACATACTTCTTATAACAATTTTAAGAAGCAGGAAACAATATCATAATATTCTGAAATCGTATTAATGCACAAAAAGTGATGCCATAAATGAATGTGCGAACAACGGTGAACGTGCTAAAAGCCAAGAAGAGATAAATGCATCTCCACGTTATGTATCACATGTGTATTTATAAAACAGTTGATACATATCACAATGTAAACATGACTTTCACTCTCCGCGCCTTAGCTGCAATTTATAAAGTGCTTATAAATAAAACAACATTGTATAATGATGATTTATGATCTAAATTCTAAGTATCTCGACGTAGTATGAGCACGATCATCGCACTCTTTGTAAGTTCGAGAATATTTATATGTATAATAGCATTAAATGAACAATGAATGTTGCAATAAATTATTCCGTATCTCGTTATATTAATGTAATCAGCGTTCGAGCCGCACGTGGACAGCACAGTATTCACGCACTTAGAACCCGAAGGCATAACAAATAATTTATTGGCAGTGCTACGACATTTCTGACGTCAAGCTACCGTGACCTACATTGATTCTACTTAAACGTACGACGCACAATTTGGCACAAAATCAAGAAAGGCGGATAAGAGTATTTTTCCTTCGTCTCTCAATATATTATCGCATCCAAATTGTCGAAGAAACATTGAAGAAAATTTCAACTTTGTACAAACACATTTCCTTAAACAAGTAAATTTAATTATTCGTATGTTACTCGTAACATTTATACCTTTTAAACCTTTTCAACAGTTCGTTGATTAATTGAAAATAATTTGTCGATATTCATGAGCACAACCACTCTAGAGAATTAAAATGATCATCGAAATTAATGATATTAGTGTAGTAATTCTTTCTTACAGAATAATAATCGTCGATTCATGAACGCTTATTTACATTGTAAGATATAATACAGATTTATGAGTATATCAAACGTCGCGTTAAAAAAAAAGATTGACTTTCTATTATTGCATTTCATTTGTTATTGAAAATGTAAAAGTACAAAACTGTTTAATACAGATCTCAAAAATAAATATCGTATTCTCGGTACATATTCCAAAAATTCCACGTGGAAATGCGGAAAATATTTCATGAGGAAACCTGTATGTATGTATGGTCAGTCATACAATCCACATACATTTCCCATAAATTTAAAATAATTTGAGAATTTAATAAGTGCATACAGGCTTTTTTAACTTACTACATCTGTTGTAAAAAAAGAAACTAAAACGGACTATACACAATTGTAAGCTTCGTCGATAAACAGATTTTTGAAGGATTTTATATTCTATTCTTAATACCACATAGCAACAATAAATTAGTAGTATCACTGACAAAAGCTTAGTACACAGTTCGGGCACAAAATGCCTCCTGGTTTACTGTCCTGACCCTGAAAGCGACTCCCACTCAAGACATTTTAAACAGAGAGAGAGAGAGAGAGAGAGAGAGAGAGAGAGAGAGAGAGAGAGAGAGAGAGCAAAATAAACAATCTCCTCTCACTGACAACGCCAAACTGACAAAACTCCTTTTTGCTCTGATATCATTTGCCTCGTAGCATTGCCCGCAGGGCCATTACAGAATGCTTCAGGGCAAAATGCATTACACACACCTGTCCTAGTTAGATTTTATATAGTATTTTTACATTTTCTATTCACTTGTTTAACGTTTGTAGGATCTACCCTATAAAAGACTGATTTTTGTACGTGTCCCAAACTATCTTCAGGATTAACGAATGTACGAGATTAATCCCCAAGATTAACGAATGTATAAAAATGAATATCATATAATTGACTCAAAAATAGCTTACCAGTTATATGTGCGATTTATAAAACTGATTCTCGTTTGTTTTGTATGTAGTGGCAAAGTAGAAAACATTTGTCGACGATCCTCAAAAAATGCTGCTGCGTTTAAGTAATAGATTTTTAATTCCTATCCAACGCCTATTACGTTTTTCCGATTCTTAAATAATTGTTAAAGTTACAGCCGTTCGTTTTCGCTTTCGTCTTCTGTTGCTACCTCCTTTATAGGTATCTCAGTCATCTGTTTCTCCTCATCGGAGGGTGAGACCACTTCATGCTCTTTCACATCATTCCATGGTTGTATCTCAGCTGAACCAAATATCCAGAACAATATCGTCGCAGATGTAAATACTCCAGCCGAGATCCAGAACATCACGCGCCATTCTTCTACTCCGTTCTACAACAAATGAAACTGTATACTATCTCTAGAATAAAGGCGACTGTAATTTATATAAATCGTTCAATATTTTTATATTAATATAGTAAGTATTATATATTAGTCATATTAGGTACCCTTTCGTTTGTCAGCGCTCCAATAATTGGTGGAATAATAAATCCAGGGAAGCTGCCAAACGTGTTCATAATTCCGTACAAGGAACCAGCAAAGTTCGGAGCCAAATCTTGATGATTCTGCAAATTAGTCTGACACGCAGCCCCATTGAACGATAATGCCACGTTCAGCATGACAATTGCGGTTATTGCGTCGCAACCAGCATATGTCATTATAATTAAAGCAATCGCTGGGCCCATATGCGCTGTTGGAAAATATGATAATTTATAGAACGCTGGTCTTTATTTTTTGTATGTGTTATTATCAAAAACTGTTATTAAAATTCGCTTACAGAAAATCATAAATATTTTTCGAATCCATCCTAAAGATAAAACCTTCTTCCTTCGTACGTAATCTCCGGCTGCAGCAAACAATACTCCAGCACCGAGTCTAGCTATGTATGGTAATCCTGTAAGTGTTCCTCCCTAGAGAACAGAAGGTAAATTTAAGTGTATTTTATTCCTTAAATAACTATCTCTACTTGTAATAAATTAAATCATACCGATTTCATGTCAAATCCGAGGACTTCTAACGTGTATTTAGGCNGAGAGAGAGAGAGCAAAATAAACAATCTCCTCTCACTGACAACGCCAAACTGACAAAACTCCTTTTTGCTCTGATATCATTTGCCTCGTAGCATTGCCCGCAGGGCCATTACAGAATGCTTCAGGGCAAAATGCATTACACACACCTGTCCTAGTTAGATTTTATATAGTATTTTTACATTTTCTATTCACTTGTTTAACGTTTGTAGGATCTACCCTATAAAAGACTGATTTTTGTACGTGTCCCAAACTATCTTCAGGATTAACGAATGTACGAGATTAATCCCCAAGATTAACGAATGTATAAAAATGAATATCATATAATTGACTCAAAAATAGCTTACCAGTTATATGTGCGATTTATAAAACTGATTCTCGTTTGTTTTGTATGTAGTGGCAAAGTAGAAAACATTTGTCGACGATCCTCAAAAAATGCTGCTGCGTTTAAGTAATAGATTTTTAATTCCTATCCAACGCCTATTACGTTTTTCCGATTCTTAAATAATTGTTAAAGTTACAGCCGTTCGTTTTCGCTTTCGTCTTCTGTTGCTACCTCCTTTATAGGTATCTCAGTCATCTGTTTCTCCTCATCGGAGGGTGAGACCACTTCATGCTCTTTCACATCATTCCATGGTTGTATCTCAGCTGAACCAAATATCCAGAACAATATCGTCGCAGATGTAAATACTCCAGCCGAGATCCAGAACATCACGCGCCATTCTTCTACTCCGTTCTACAACAAATGAAACTGTATACTATCTCTAGAATAAAGGCGACTGTAATTTATATAAATCGTTCAATATTTTTATATTAATATAGTAAGTATTATATATTAGTCATATTAGGTACCCTTTCGTTTGTCAGCGCTCCAATAATTGGTGGAATAATAAATCCAGGGAAGCTGCCAAACGTGTTCATAATTCCGTACAAGGAACCAGCAAAGTTCGGAGCCAAATCTTGATGATTCTGCAAATTAGTCTGACACGCAGCCCCATTGAACGATAATGCCACGTTCAGCATGACAATTGCGGTTATTGCGTCGCAACCAGCATATGTCATTATAATTAAAGCAATCGCTGGGCCCATATGCGCTGTTGGAAAATATGATAATTTATAGAACGCTGGTCTTTATTTTTTGTATGTGTTATTATCAAAAACTGTTATTAAAATTCGCTTACAGAAAATCATAAATATTTTTCGAATCCATCCTAAAGATAAAACCTTCTTCCTTCGTACGTAATCTCCGGCTGCAGCAAACAATACTCCAGCACCGAGTCTAGCTATGTATGGTAATCCTGTAAGTGTTCCTCCCTAGAGAACAGAAGGTAAATTTAAGTGTATTTTATTCCTTAAATAACTATCTCTACTTGTAATAAATTAAATCATACCGATTTCATGTCAAATCCGAGGACTTCTAACGTGTATTTAGGCCCATTAGTGGCTATGAAGTAGATTCCCCACATGTTAGCAAAGTGGGCCCACAATAGGACCAAGAAAGGTACGGAAGTTAGAGCTGATTTCATTGGCAATTGTAACTACAAATTTTCAGTATTGATAAAATAAACATTACAAGATTAATTTATACCACCAATTCGGTAAAGTATTATACCGTATGGCAATATTTACTTTTTGTTTAGAGACAGATGTCCCTATTTGCTCTTTAATATAACATCTCTCCTTCTCTGTGATCCCTGGGTGCATATCCGGTGTGTCGTAAATTAGGAAAGTCCATAAAGCATAGAAAATAAGTATAAGAATGCTTGTGGAGTAGTAAGCTGCTTTCCAACCAAAAGCACTGATTATTTGTCCGCATATAGCAAACGTAACTACAGTTCCGAATGGACCACCTGAAAACCATGTTTAATTTTCAATGTTTGTTTCTAGAATATACAATTTCACAAGTGTTTACCTTGCATTGTCCACACAAACATGCCCTTTTCACTTGGAGGAACCCATCTTGCGATCATCGCATGAAGGGCAGGATAAACGGCTCCCTAAAAATATATTCTATGTTAATGAACAAGTAGGTCGGTACTCTTCGACGATTTGTTAATGTACTAGAAGTGACATGCATCACTTTTATTCAGTCTTTATTAACCCCTTACTATACGTGAACAGTACTATGTATAAGTGAAATGTTTGACTCTGTTGACTCATTTTAAATATTTCTACGAAGCTAGAAACATGTTTTTCGATAATCAAACCATCATAGTTTTGAATATTGAAATCTCCTCTTTAAAACAGGCTAAAAAAAGTGCAATGTACGATTGTTTGCCATTGTTTTACTGTATTTTGAAGTTTGCCCATGAATTTTCATGAAGTTCACCTTGAGTTACTCTAATGCTATCAGCATATATACATTCAGAACGCGATAAACCGGCAATAATGAGTCGTACAAGCTTTATGTAGTTGTAAAACAGTGATTTCACCTGGATAAAAAGTTTTTCAGAATTTGTACAGAGATTTCACTCAATCTCTTGATTTCATGTGTAAAAATATCCTATAAAAGAGAACAATTTAGAGTTGTGAAAGTTCGGAGATTTCACGCTTTAAAATGAGCCAAAGGGAATCAATATTACATTACGTTTTAGAAAATAATTGATAAAAAAAATACTGTGTAGTGGAAAACTTACTCCAAAGAAGCCCATCATAAAACGGAGTACAAACACAAAACCATAATGAAGACCAGAAGCCCAAGGCATCAATAGGTTTAATGCGGCAGGTATTAGTGTCGCAAATCTATATTAGCATACAGTTCAATAATTGGTAAATGTGTGATGTGTGCAGAGGTAATGACAACTGTACAGCAGTGGCCAGTCAAATTACATCACTACTTGACGATACAAATTTTTTAAACTACATTCTTTCGATGTACTAATTTTGTATAATATACATATAGATTGGTAGTAATATTATTTAGTAGTAGTACTATTTTTATGACCACGGCTGCGGATATTATAATTATCAGGATCATATATAAAATCTGTTTCATTTCAATGTTTACCATTTGCTCCCAAAAAATGACCCCGATAATTACTTCATTAAAAACAATAATTAAACAATATTACACTCACGCAACTACTTTGGAACCGCCGTATTTCTCAGCTAGAAGGCCAGCAGGAATACTCGCTGGAAGTACTCCATAAAAATATCCGGACAGCAATAAACCTTGTACATGTTGGTTCCAATCGAATCTTTCGCCATACTAAAATTATTATCGGAATTATTAATCACAGTAAAATATTTCCTCAAATATTGTATGTATGTCCGATTAATCTTTAAAAAGCAATTACTCACATCTTTGACTTCTGCAGCTTTGTGAGTAGCATTAGCTAACGAGACAGAGCCACAGGCTGGACCAACTCCTCCATCCTTTCGGGTTGTATTTACCATGGCAACAATAGTTATTGATAAATTTGTGCGTATCATGTACGAGAACATACATGCTAGGAACATCATTGCTCCTAGAATCGCTCTTTTCGGTATCTTTTCTGTAACGTATACGAGTACTAAGTAGAATCGTTGAAACATTAATTATTCATCAGTGTTTAATATTCTACAACGTGTTAATTGAATCCCGTTCGATGTGTAAAATTTTTCCACTCGAAACATTCCTTGAACGATTGCTTTCAAAAATTGTCTATTTTACAAAATTTCGAAAAGTTAAGTTAAACGTGATATGAATCACTGTTTAAAGCTATAATTATCCATTCTCATCGCTTACGCATCCATTCTATAACTAAGCGTAGTCCTAGAAACAGAACTTAATGAAACTTTTCAAAAAGTTCGAAACATGTATTCCTTGATGTTTTATAATCGCGAAGACTGTTTATTGAAGTAACAGTGTCTACACTTAATCATTCGCGCGATTGTTATGAAACTTGTTACGACAGAAGCACGTCCAACCGCCTGTTATCTTTTAGACAGACTGATGAGAATGTAGTGGCAGTTAATAGATATTTACCTATGGAGAACAGGTCTGATAATCATAAACGGCTTTCAACGAGCCTAAAAAAAATGAGTGATATTCCTGTAATCACTTCTACAACAAACGACTTCAAGATGCACTTGTAGATACTTGTGTTAATAGCGTTTATCTATAAATGCTCTTTCACGAGATCGGTCTTAATCTTAATTAGTATCGATCAGTCATTTCAGATCTAACGAGCTGTCATGAATTATAAAATTTAGGCTCATGAGACTTTCGAATTAATGGTAATTCCTCTTAAATTCACAAAAATATTTTTATCGGGAAAACGAGCAACATTCTTAATGGGAATTGAAACGTTTCAATGTACGATGAACTTCGTCCTATTGACGAAGTTTTCGCAATGGATTCGTAATGGAATTGGATCTTCATCATCTTTACTCTTATCGATAATAGCAATCTCTGCGGTAATCTGAGATAACATTGGAAGAGAACATTAAACAGACGCCGCAAACATCTTCAATACCAGTAGTGCAAATTAATCGTTGAAACGAAAAAGATCTAGGTGACGAATTTTGTTAAGTTTTCAAATTATTAAATTGAGATAAATGAATAAAATATTAACTTTAAATTGCAAACAGATTACGGAATATCTAAAATTCGATGTAAACATTTCGCGATACAATTTTTAGCTAAAAATACTTGTTCGACTGAATATCAAATTAAATATATTCATTTAGGGTGAATTTGTTAATAAATTGCATGATTACATCACAATAGCTTCTATGTGTATTGAACGAAATCAAGTACCACTTACGTCGATACTACTATTCAAAGGATCGGTAGTAAACCAAAACATAAAACGAGGGCAATCAAAGTTATGGCATGGTCAATACGATTGCAATTAACGTCCCTAAAAGTAAAAAATGGTACGTCCGACCTATAAATACACGACAAATAAACTGCAGAAGACCTTTAGAACCTTTCGAATCAGTTTCAATCATGTGATTACCCGTTTGTCGACGATGCGTTCCTTCGTCATTTTTCCACGATGAAACTTTCCCAGTTTACCCGATACACAAAACAGACCGTAATTTTTAAAAAAAGACTGATTAAAAGCTTTAATACTTTACATATAAAATATAAAAGTCCCTCGAAGTAATAATATTATTATTATATATATAATAATATATATAATAATAATAAATAATAAATATTATATATAATATATATAAAATATATAATATTAATAATATTATTATTATTATATAATGTTGCCTACGTGCAAAGTGGAGATATTTACGAAATAAATTTGGACATCAAATAAAAATGTTATCACCACTATCGATCATGTGAATGTTATCAACCACGAAATAATCTCAAAGCGGCCTTGAAAGTTAATTCATACTAGTACCGGATTTCAAGAAAGAATCCGCGCGCAAAAGCGAGTTCGAATTGTCAACAGTCGACGGAAACTTTATTTAGGAAACGACGGATATACGGCTCAAGGGCGCCGTGATTCAGTGTAAAATAACTCTTCTTAACATACGCAGAATTTCGATTCTGCACATTATGCGAAAGAATGCGATAACCTTCGGCTATCGTAAAGTTATAAAATAGGTATGTACTTACCATTGACCTTCCGGAAGAGAGCCATTTTATTTAGAGCGACGTGCAGAATCGCACGCTACGAATTTCTATGACCGTGGGACTGCGTTTTAATTCTACTGATGCTTGTTAACAACTCGTAACAAGCTACAAACACTCCGGAGTTGCTAGAGGATGCAGTTCGGAATACGATCGAGCCAGTGCACAAATCGACGATTGTATTATTACGTCATGCTTTCGCAGTGGTTGATAATAATCGTCGCGATTTTATTTCATTTTCTGTCTAGTCGACGATGCTCCTGCTGTCATCAGAATCCAGTAAAGTTTGATATATAGTTGCAAGAACGCTGAAAAAGAGACGAGACGCCGCTGTATCCGAAATCTATATTTAAATCCTCAATGATGTTTAAGTTACACGCGCTTACGCAATATTAGTCTGATATATGCATACTACAAGCGATTATAGAAAGAAAATAATGCACACGCTATGTGCTTGGCTCTTAATCCACAACACGGTTCAACATTTGTCGATACTATGTACTCTTAATTTGATTGTTCTTCGCGCTATAGTGACAATTGGATAAATAAATTGTATATTTATGCGCTATTTATACTACTGGCCGAAGTTTGAATTCTGGCGGGATGACGTGACGTAAACGATTTTAAACTCGGTACCACGTTAGAAACAATATTGACGTTGAAAGTATCGTCAGTGGTGCATGACTATTTTTTTCCTTGTTTATACTATGCCCAGCAAGCTAAACATTTAACAAACAAGGTTACGATGGTGATTAGAATGATTGAAATATGGAGTTGATCTGCAATGTGCAATTCATGCATTAGCTTATCATATGGAATTATTGATACTATCGATGCCGCATTACTCGACTTTTCTGATAACGATTCTCGTGATGTTCCATACGTGTGGTATTATTGATTTTTCATATTTGTCATCAAATGCGACTATTACTTGTTTTTTCTAGTAACCGCCATAATTTTACGATAGTACGAGAAATTATTTCACGCAATTAATCATTGACAATTAAAATTGAAATATTAGAACTTTGTTTTGCAGATGTTTTATGCTACACCATAAATTATCTATTGCCGCAATCAGGTCACTGATTAGAAAACAATCGAACTCTTTAGTGACTCAAACTCAAATAGGGGACGCATTTAATTTTTTCATATTGCATCAGTTTTATAAATAGAAGATCATAAGAATCTATGTATTTTTTATTAGATTTATCAAGGGAAAGAATAAGAATAACGCTATGAATACAGTTAATTATGTTTTAATCCATTAGATGAACTACATGCTGGTATGTACATAATTGGAAACTGATAAATAAATTGCATTTGCATATAGCTACATACACATAACTACATATACATAACATACGCATAAAGAAAATGAATTTATACGCAAGCATGATTCATAATCTGACTAACCTCTTTCAAACGACTTTCAATATCGACAAGAAGTCGTCGTACAAATGATCCTCGACGTTGGAATAGAAAATTGTGCAGCTTTCATTTAATCTGCTCACGTGTGTATACGTTGGATGAAACACTGGATAACATAACTGTGAACCTTCTTTCACTAGCGTCGATGCATGCACACATAAAATACAAGGAAACGATATACACAAAATGATCAATCCTACACACGGTACACACAAAATGACTGAATTTCAGTCACTCACTGAACACTACCGACTTTTTTCCGTCTTCAGCTCGCGCTTTTTTCCCCCTCCATCATCACCTGTTGTGTGTGTATGTAGCTATATGTATACAATTTGAATCTCCGTAAGATTCAACGGCTAAAGAATATTCGGAAGATACAGTTATTTTTAAGAGTTCCACGTTTATATTATGTAAAATATGTTTATTTAGTATTGTAAGCACTGACAACAATGATCCTTGCTGCTTTTGTTATAAGATATAATGAAAAATTCGGCACGAATCACTTTCTCCGTAAAATAAGAAAATAACGCCATTACGAGTAGCGGCAAAACGCTGAAACTGTTCACCAAAATCAATTGTTGGTAATTTTGCCTACTAGTTCCGACGTTTTACCACTACGTGTAATGTGGCGCTATTTTCCAAATTTTACTTTTTAATTATCTCCAAATTCCTTTAAAAAAAGACGAATTCATGTCTCGCATTTTTGATAATATAAAAGAGTTTGTTATGTTATTCTTGAATTGANACGAATCACTTTCTCCGTAAAATAAGAAAATAACGCCATTACGAGTAGCGGCAAAACGCTGAAACTGTTCACCAAAATCAATTGTTGGTAATTTTGCCTACTAGTTCCGACGTTTTACCACTACGTGTAATGTGGCGCTATTTTCCAAATTTTACTTTTTAATTATCTCCAAATTCCTTTAAAAAAAGACGAATTCATGTCTCGCATTTTTGATAATATAAAAGAGTTTGTTATGTTATTCTTGAATTGA